AAAAAAACCAAAAAGCAGACAAAAAAAAAAAACACTACAGGTTTGACAGCTGAGAAATATAGCGAGAAACAGTTTAACCTTCCAGTAGACAGATCAGTTAATTAACAGCATCCACAACACACACACACACACACACTATTGGTCCACAGCCATATTGAACAAGCTCCGGTGTGAAAGAATCACAGTCTCTCAGCAGGCAGAGAGGACTTGTGTGATGAAGCGCTCTGATTGGCCGTTGCTATAACAATAGGGGAGGAGAGACAGCCAAGTGGGGGTGGAGACCCAGCATGATTATAAAATCCTTCAGAGAGACACATTTGCTTCCTGTATGTTTTTATTTTTTTATTTATTTTCTCTGTTTTCCCGCATCTCCTCCTGTCTCTCATGAGCAGAAGTAGGAGGGAGCGCGGAAAGGGATGCAAGATAAACGCCTGTGCCTCTCTCTACTGCATGCATGCATGCAATGCGTGCTGCAGACTAAATAAGACACCTCCAGTTTTGGATTATCTGTCTGGTGGTGCGCTGACTGCCTCCAGACCTGGAGGCCACCCTCCTCCCTTTCACACTGAAGGAAGAGTAGAGTAGAGACGGTCTACTGTTTGCCTCCTGCAGACTCCAACCACTCCTGTGAGTATGCAACCGTGTCTGTGTTGTGACATGAACTGTTCTGACTTTATGACATGCTTGAGATGATCCTGACCGTGTTGTTGTTTAGATATAGACTGAAGCTGAAACCCTGTACATCTACAGTACATCTAGCACTGGAATAACGCCATAAACGCTCTTTCCATTCAGGTTTCGCTCATCTTTCTAAACCCACACACTGATGTGTGCTGACGCAATATATGTGGCTTCGGGGTCATGTGTGTTCAGCGGCGTGGGCTTTGATGCACACATGATTCACGGCTGCGTGTACGGCCGGGACTATACATTTGTGGAGAGCGTCCTGAGAGCGGCGAGATGCTTTAAAGTGACACATTACAATGTTTACATAACACGCCTGCTTATTGCAGCCTATCTGACAGTACGCACACCACTCGAATGCACAAATAGAGTCGGTCAATAACATTAGCGTGAAGCAGGACCAGTGTGAAGCCACAATAGGCGGCTGGCAGTGACTCATTAGTGCAGAAAGGAGCTATTAATAAACGAGTCCTGCATCTTGAAGTCAAACAGCCCACTGGATGTGGCTGCACTCTTAAAAATAAAGCCTATCAAGGACCGTTTTGGGCTCTATAGAGTTCTTAAGTTGCCATTATGGTGTTTATGAGAGTAAAAAGTTGTTGATGAAGGTCTGCAGATAAGTGTTTTGGTTTATGGATCTTACGTGATGGTTTCCTACAGAAGAAGAGAGTAAAAAGTTATTTGTGAAACTTTAAAACTTTAGTACACCGTGATTTGGTCTTCTGTCAACAGAGAAAGCATGAATTCACAAGCAACTTGCACAACTTTCAGATTTGAAGGTCTTGAAAAGCTCTGAAGATGATCCAGTGAGGGCATGTGGAAAGATGCAAATCATGTTTGCGTTTGATTGAGGGAAAATTACTTTCATGAAAAAGTTAAAATAATACTTAAAAGAGTAGCATCTTTTTCTAAAATGCTTTTGGAGAAATTACATTTGAAATAAAATTCACAAGTATGATGATTTTTAATTCATAAGAGTACTGTGTTGTAAAATGAATGTGAATAGTACAGCTCAGATCATTCAGTTTTTGTAGAACAAAACATTGGTATCTTGACAAATTTGAGACCTTTTTTGAAATTCAAGTGACACATGAGTGCAAAGCAATAGCAAAAGTCTCTATTTCATCTAGATACTGTCTAGAAGAAACAATTGAGACATAAAGAAACCTTTATGTGTGTGTGTGTTCCTTACTCTGAGTGGAAAACCAGTTGAAACAATTATAGAAATGGTTATTTTTATCAATTACTCATGTTGACCAGTCAGTTTCCTCATAATTTGTTCCACAAACTTTATTCCACGTGTGGAAGATAACCTTCATTTAATAGCCAGAGAGAATATGAGGACAAACCTGTGATGTGGTGAAGACAATGGCATTATGTAAGTTTATGAGTTCCTTTATATGATATGAATATGACAGATATTATCACCTCAGTCTAGAAAGCCAGCATTTTCTCTCAAAGCTAAATTGTGTATTCAGAAGGAGCAATTGTGCTTTGTTGGTATTCTAACTCAGTTAATTTCCTTCCTCGACTGTGAAGCCGTACCTTGAGAAGGCAATTGAAGGTTCAGTGACGCACAAAAATGTCCTAAGCAAAACGTATCATATATCATGTGCTTGGATCCGGTGATGTTAATGGCTCGGTGTAAGTGAGCAAAGTATCAGGAAACAACAAAAGTGCCTTCGAGAATGTCCCCGTTGTTTGTATCCAAGCTGGGATACAATTTCAGAGCCCTGTGATTATAAAGAAGCGCTCTTTGCCTTTCTTCTCCGGCTTTGAAATGGAAATGACACAAAATTCCCTGTCCGCATAGAAATAACACAAGGGGAGAATGAATATGCACAAACACCTCCCCGTATTTTGTGGGTGATTCTTGTTAGTCAAAAGAGCTGCTGTGCTTTGATGGCGACAGGAAGATGAGAACGAGGTCGACCCAACATGGACACCAGGGTACAGGCCTCGGGGCGGCGCACAGCTATCTGTTCAACCTCTTCACCATCTGCCCTTTCGCTATCTTTAGCGAAATTATATAACAATTAAGTAAAAATATCAATATTAAACAAATATTACAAAATGTATTGCTCTGATTCTGATTGAATGAGGCATTTTTATATTAATGAGGCAAGTGGCAGTTTTGCTCAACGACCAAACTTATATCTAAACTCTGAATGGGACAAGTCCTGCCTGTATATTTCACACGGACTCCATGATTCGCTGTCGCTCTCGCATGTAAATAACATAAAGCAGAATCTCTACCAGTCTGTATATCTCTACCACGTGATACATATCCTCACACCACCCAGCCCTTGTTTGCCCTAATCAGCAAATTGCATGTTGATATGCAAGCTTAAGTACTTAAAATCATGTGCAATTGACATAATGAGTAATTAAGACTCAACTAATTACATTCACAGAGAGACACGTGCTCTATTGTAGAAATACAATCAGAGTGTGCAAATTATATAATGACTTTCACAAAGGAATTTCACACAACCTAAATTGTCTTTTGGTGCACCAAGCACAGCTAGATTACAATCAGTGATCATTTTGATACTATACTTTTAAATACAAAGCGCTGAAAAAAATGGACAAAACCGACCCTAACAGCTATAGACTGAAACCACTGTCAAAACTAGCCTATATGTAAAATTATAAGTATTTAATATAATAATGTATTGTAAACATAAATAAACTTCCGACCTTGCCTTCGGTTTCTGCCTTTTATAACTCGCACCCTGAATAGTCACTGAGAGAAAGAGTGAGAGAAAAAGAGACCTGCACAGACTAATTATGCTGTTTAAGGTCTCTATAGGGCACCCATTGATTTACTAGAAATAACTTATAGGACTGAGTGCTTATTGATCGAGTGTGGTTTCAGAGCTCTGATGACATCACTATAAATCTGTGAGTGATTACAGGAGATGAATGGCCTGCTAACTAGACAAGTAATTAGACCCTCATAAATTTAACCCACGACTGCTACAGTTCTTTATTACACGGCATATGGCACTGAGAGACACGGGTTGTCCATTCAGTGTTTTTTTAATTACTACGGGGAAAGGTTATCTATTGTGTACTGTGTATTTTAGCTCAGGCTATATATGCATATATACTTAAGCTTATACCATGTCTGTCTGTAGAATGTCAGAGCTACTTTTGTTGCAGAAGTTTTCAAATAAAAGGAATGATCTGATGTACAGTATAGACTTATTAATGATATTTGCCAAGTCAAATATATATAATAAAAAAAAAACTTAGAACACCACAGCAACTGTCAAGCAACACACTAAAACCACCTACAACACTTTAATATCTTCACAGTAACAAAAAAGACACAAAAATTTATAGAGACTGCACAGCAACACAATAAAATTCACTCTTAACACCCTATTACAGAGCGATTCATTAGTAAGAATAACCTAGAAACCATTCAATAATACATTAAAAACCATTCAGAACACACTAACGACAGCACAGCAACACACTCAAACCACTCAGAATGCCCTAGCAACCACACAGCAACACACTGAACACCAATCAGAACACCCTATAAAATAAAAACACAATCATACAAAGTCTAGAAACGCAATTAAACCCACACACTTAAACCATTTAAAATTCGCTAACAACCGCACAGCAACAGACTAAAAAAACACTCAGAACAGCCTAGCAACTGCATAGCAACACACAAACCACTAAGAACAACCTGGCAACCACATAAAAACACAATAAAAATAGTCAGAACAGCATAGCAACCGCACAGCAACACAATAAAAAAAATACATTTAGAGCAGCATAACAACACAATAAAAACACTCAAAACAGCTTAGCAACCACAAAGCAACACGATAAAAAACACTCAGAACAGTGTAGCAATTGCATAGCAACATAAAACACTCAGAACAGCCTAGCAACTGCATAGCAACACACAAACCACTAAGAACAACAAAGCAACCACATAGAAACAAAATAAAAAACACTCAGAACAGTGTAGCAATTGCATAGCAACATAACACACTCAGAACAGCCAAGCAACTGCATAGCAACACACAAACCACTAAGAACAACATAGCAACCACAAAAACACAATAAAAAAAACACTCAGAACAGTGTAGCAATTGCATAGCAACATAAAACACTCAGAACAGTGTAGCAATTGCATAACAACATAAAACACTCAGAACAGCCTAGTAACTGCATAGCAACACAATAAAAACACTCAGAACAGCCTAGCAACAACATAGAAACACAATAAAAAAAAACACTCAGAACAGTGTAGCAATTGCATAGCAACAAAAAAAAAAACTCAGAAAAGCCTAGCAACTGCATAGCAACACACAAACCACTAAGAACAACCTGGCAACCACATAAAAACACAATACAAATACTCAGAACAGCATAGCAACTGCACAGCAACACAATAAAAAAAATACATTTAGAGCAGCATAACAAAATAAAAACACTCAGAACAGCTTAGCAACCACATAGCAACACAATAAAAACACTCAGAACAGTGTAGCAATTGCATAGCAACACAATAAAAAACACCCAGAACAGTGTAGCAATTGCATAGCAACATAAAACACTCAGAACAGCCTAGCAACTGCATAGCAACACAATAAAAACACTCAGAACAGCCTGGCAACCACATAGCAAAAACAAAACAAAAAAACACTTAGAAGAACAGTGTAGCAATTGTTAGAGTTGGGGTACTCCGTCTCGAGTACAACTTCTAGTGGACTTGGACTTGTCACAGACTTGGATGCATTTTTACTCTGACTTGACTTGGACTCAAACCTTTGGGACTCGAAAAATATTTCCGAATATCAAAATGTACCTTATTTACCTCTAAAACAATATATTAGTACCTAATATAAGGTACCTAAATGGTACATATTAGTACCTTTGGAAAAGATACTGCCCCAGTGACAGCTTTTGTACCT